TCTTATTATCATGCTTCAGAAAAAATACTTAGAAAAATAAATAGGCAAGCCTGAAGTTCTGATATTTTCCTTAATGGTATTGTTGCTATAGTTACAGCTGAAATGTTATATAAAGCAAATTGCTTATTGATAGAAAAATGCTAAGTAGCACAGCAGCATCCCTTTTTTGAGTAAAACTGCCTTCATTTCCTACTCTCCTCTTAAGATTAAATGGTTTTTTAGAGTGTTGTTTTGAAGCCCTGATGATTTGATGTTAAAATAAATGTATTTTATTAACATGTACTAGTTGGCAAATGGATATATTTTAATAGATTGTGATCAACATGGAGCTATTTTTTATATACTTATATCAAAATTCTTCCTATTTGGATGTGAAGTTTGATATCCTGGATATTAACATTAAGGCACTAAAAAAAGTGATTGGTTTCATAGTATAAATATATATAAATGATATATATATATAAATACATTCTTCTGATCTAATACATTTAATAATATACATGAAATATAAACTTTCATTATATTTATGCCATTAGAAGGTACTTACAGTATACTGAAAATAAAATATATTTTTAAAACACAGGACTCCAAATGGAAATGGTCTGAGAGCATTCATAACAATGACTAGTATATTTTTAAAAAGCCTCCATAGGATCTATTTGTTCTATTTTCCTATTTAATAAACTCAGTCATATAATAGAAAATGCCTTCAATTTATACACATATATAATATACAATACATCATATTATATATAGTATACATTTTCTGATTGTCTCACTGTCTTTATAAAGAAATAACTCAGAGATAAAACCGTAACATTTGTTATTTCACCTTAAGGCAAAATATGATTAGTCATGTGTGTCACAACTGTAACTGTTATAGAAAGAGTTAATTCTATGTCTGGCAAAATCTTTTCAGCTATTAAAAGTCATATGTGGCAGTGATATATTATGAATTTTAATATACTTTTAGAAATCTTGCTTAATTCTTCAGATTGCTATTGAACTAGAAACATGAGTATTAAATAATGTTGTGTCTAATAATGTGTGGCTATTGAGAAACTAAGATTGTAGGTACATATTTTTGAACCCAGAAAATTAATACTTCTTAATTAGGTTCCTGAATACAGTGATTTAAAAAAAGTCTTTGGGATTATTTGTGATTAAAAAAAAGCAAAAAAATAATAATTGTGAAAAACAGATTTTTACATTTTCTTATGTGGTTGTATTTTTCCAAATTTTTTATAGAAAAGTTTTCTAGTAATTGTGTTTATATTTGATGATGATGTGAATAATGATGACCTGTATTGTCCTAAATGAATTTTCTTGTGAAAATTAGTTTTTACTCATTTTCTCTGTCAGAATTTGATCACTTTTGCTTTTCTCATTTCTGGTTTGGATTTTACCCTAATCTCTGCCTTTTCCTATCTTTTCTTTTAATAAACAAAGTTTAATTTACATGTTTAAAGAAATATATAATTTTTGATGCAACTAATAGTGTTTTTTTTTTCTTTTCAATCCTTTATTGAATTTATAACTTTCTCTGCTTGCTGAATTTTTTGGTATTCTAATTTGGGTTCTAAGGGCTTCCCTGGTGGCTCAGAGGTAAAGAATCCACCTGCCATTGCAGGAGACACGGGTTCAATCCCCAGGTTGGGAAGATCCCAACCTGGAAAAGGACATCGCAACTCACTCCAGTATTCGTGCCTGGGAAATCCCATGGATAGAGAAGCCTGGTGAGCTATAGTCCATGGGGTCGCAAAGAGTGACACAACTTAGCAACTAAACAACAATCTTAGTTCTAGGGCTGCAAAAAGAAGAGACACACATGTGAGACCACCAGTTCAACATTTCTAATTGGTGAAAAATTACTCTGTGTGATTTATAATTTATCAAATTCCTTATGTTGTAAATGAATTCATCAGATAATCCTTTTAAACCATAGTATCCTCTCCATCTTCCTTAGTTTTTTCCCCTGCATATTATACTTATATTTAACCCATATCTTCTTTCTTCTACTTGAGTGTGAGTTCATGATTGAATAATGCTTGCACATATAATTTCCCCAGTGTATATGTACTCCACAGATAAAAATAGACTGGATATCTACAGAATAGATATGTAAGTGAATGCTGTTGTCATAATTATTTGACATAATACTAGCATCAGTTTCCAAATTGATTTTGGTGACAAAGTGTAAGTTAAAAAAACACGAGCTTGGCCTTATGATATTCTTCAAAATGCAAATCAATCATGTAACCAAGAGACCAAGTGTAGCAATATCATGTTAAAATTAATTACAGACAGTAACAATTAAAGATACTGGGTTTAGGGAATTCCCTTACAGTCCAGTGGTTAGCATTCCGTGCTTTCACTGCAGAAGGCCCAAGTTCAAGACTTGGTCAGAGAACAAGACCTCACAAGCTGCATGAACAGGCCAAAAAACAAAAAAGATACTAGGTTTAACTGAATTGGGATGGGAATTTGAGCAAAACAGAGATTTAAACCAACCAATGAGGCTCTCGACATAGGTCATTTTTCCCTTAGACTAGTACTACTGCCTTCTCTTTGCCTTTGATTTTAGTAGGGGTGGGTTATCACTGCTTTTAGGTTTATCAAACATTTTAAATCAGGAAAATGAAGTGTTTTATGTGACATAGTAGATTAAATAGCTGAAACCCTTTATCCTCTTACCTAAATTTTCAGATGTATGAAAATAATGAATATACTACCTTGAAATAATCACTCTATTTTCTTAACAGGTTTTCCTTTTGAGAGCTGTGTACAATTTTGGTATCACATGCTATTAATATAACTGCCAAGAGATGTCAACTTTGTAAGAATAATTTGTCCCTAAAACTTAGATAAAGTTATCATGCTTTTATAATATTGATAAGAATTTCCAAACATGTATTTCTGGAATGTTAAAAACTTCCTAACTTATTTACATATGGACCTGCCCTGATAAGAATGCATAGCACACGCCTGCATTTGGCTTTTAGAATCCATATGACAAAACAGCACAATGGCACAGCTATTTGTGTCTATTTTTGTTTTTTAAAATGTCAGTTTCTGAATGAAAATATTGTAAGATATGACCGCACCAAGGAGTGGTTTTTAAAACCACAACACTGATTAAGATTGATTTTCTGTTGATGTTAAGGAAGTACCTCCTCTAGGGACTCTTCAAGACAACAGCTGGAACTTTGAGAATTGGACATAAGGATCAAATCAGTTTCTTTCCTAAGACTTTGTATAAAGTTACTATATAGAGAAGCCACAACTCACTTTATTGCTGCTTAGACTTGAAATTAAGAAAGGAATTGGTACTGGATGATCATAACGCACAAAGTGACCCATAATACATACTAATGTTCTATAGACAGCATTTTATCTGAAATTAAATAACTGACTCAGGTCCTTACTGTTTTAGATAATCAAGTAAGAATTATGACAGCATACAAGTTGCAAAACAGTCATTATTATTAAGCAACATTTTTGTTTCTTTAAAGAAATTGAAAACTGAAGAAATGAATCTTAGTTGTCTAACAATATTCTAGGACAATAAGTGATTTTTGTCTCTAAATAATTGAAGTTATGCTACTGGAAAGAATGATCCAATATGAAGAGCAATTTGAAATTGCCTCTCAGAAAACAGTACAACATACAATCACAATATTGTTTGCATGACTCTCCAACTGTGTACTTTAAAGGATAGGCATTCATTAAATGGTAACAGTTAGAAGCTACATGTATAACCTTAATTTCTTACCTTTTAATAGGTATAATGTAAGAAAAAGCACACCATACATCAATAAGGAGGAAATTCTGCAAAATTATTGGTCTAACAATCTCTCTCCCATGTGATCATTTATGTTTGTTATTAGAGGATAGTTCTCAGTCTTTAGTTTGCAAAAGAATTCACCAAGAGGTTATTTAAAAGGCAGATTCTCCGTCTCCTATCCGAGGTTTCTGCTAAAATTATATTGGTATAGTAACTAAAATTTGTATGAGTAAGGACTTCTTCAGGAGATTTGGCTCAGGTGGCCCATGGATTCCACTTAGGAACAGAAGTAGTGTAAAGAACTATATTAGTCAGCAGTTGAGAAAACTGGGGGAAAAGATATCAAACCGTTTTAATTTGTGAATGCTTCTTGACACAGTTGCATAACAAATGTGATTATTATTTAAAAAATAACATTATTTTTTAATCTTAAATCAGATGGAGAATTATATACAAGGGATTTGTGAAACTTCTACATGTGCCTTGTCATCTTCTGCTCTGGTAGATAGAGTTACATTTGATCCAAAACAAAAGATAGGCGATTAGAAGCTAAGTCTTTAAAAACTTACTATTAATTGGCTGTGAAAAGAAAACTACTGTAATTTAATAGTTTTTTTAATAAATTTATGATAGGAACACTAATTTTGAAGGTATAAGGCTTAAAAATATTTGTATTTAGAACAAATGCAGATTTTTTTTTTTTTTTAACCAAAAAATTGACATTTCTCAATCTGTCTTTGATGCGGGCTTCCCTGGCTCAGTGGTAAAGAATCAGCCTGCAATGCAAGAGACCTGGGTTTGATCCCTGGGGTATTTGATCCCTAGGTTGGGAAGATCCCCTGGAGAAGGAAATGGCACTCCACTCCAGTATTCTTGCCTGGGAAATCCCATGGAGCCTAGAAGGCTACAGTCCATGGGCTTGCAAAAGAGTCAGTTAGGACTTAGCAACTAAACATCTTTGATACATTTTTTATTTTCTTTTTATGATGAGGCCAATTAGATGCTAATCCCTAAGGATTCCTCCTATTCTTTAGATTTCAGGCAGTCTTTTTGCAATGTTCTTTTAAAAAGTCAGTTCTATTGATCCAGAAAACAATGACCTACCTTCTCCATATATAAAAAAGCAGCCATAAATTGTCAAGTGCTCATCTTGGTAAATGTACCAAAACAGATGTATTATCATATAGTTAATCTTTTAATTTTACTTTATTTACAGATTCAAGAATGGCTTTGTTTAAATTGCCAAACCCAGAGAGCAATATCAGGACAGCTGGGAGACATGGGCAAAATGCCACCAACACAGGCAGGACCAAAAGCCTCTGCTATGCCTGTCCCTACAGAGCAGCCATTTCAGGAGACAGCAGTGCCTGCCCCAGTAAAAGTGAAAAAGAAGGAACAAGAAGAAAAACCTGATGCTGAAAAATCCATTTCAGAAAAGGTAAAAGAAACACCTTCAGGTGAAAAAATTCCCCCTAAGGAAACCATAGCTCAAATCCGAGAGGAGAGGAAAGGAGAGAAAGACAAAACTTCAGCCCCTCAAGAAAAAAAGTCACCCCCTGAAGGCAAAAAGCCACCTTCTGAAGACAAAAGGCCACTCCCTGAAGAAAAAAAGCCACCTCTCGAAGAAAAAAAACCAACCCTTAAAGAGAAAAAGCCGGCTCTTGAAGACAAAAAGTTAGCCCCAGGAGCAAAATCATTGGTTCTAGAGGAAGAACAGAAACAGGACTTACTTAAAACTCAAGTACAAATTGCTGAAGTAAAACCTGAAGGCAGAGTGCCTCCAGAGGCAAGGGAAGAAAAGAAGCAACCACCAATGGGGACGGAAGATTTACCAGCCAGCGCACCTCGGCGTTTGCCTAAAGAAGATGGGATGACTCAAAAAATAAAAGTACAGCCACAGGCACCATGCATGGCAAAGCCTGATCAGATGGAATCTGGAAAGGAAAAAACAGTAAGTTATGTTTCTTACCTCATTTTGTAGTTTTACACCTGTAATTTACTAATGTCTGCCTAAATGTATACCAAATGCTTAATGGTAAATTTTGTAAGTAAAAGCTTTCAATTAGTAGCATTTTCAAAAAGAGTCAGTACTATTCAGAAAAAAATACTAACATGAAATCAGTGTCCCCCTTTCACACGAAATAATGTTTGTCTTGAAATTTTTATTTACTTAGCCACTTGGTTAAGCAAGACTCAACAAATTTCTTCTCACTTGAAAATCTTTTAAGATGTGTTCAACCATAAAATGATTAAATAATTGTGATTTTTTTTTAAAAAGTACAGCCAAAATTCAGAAGAAACTTTTTGAAGTTATTTTAGTATTGTGTGAATGCAATATAATGTATTTTGTTCAGAGTTTTATTCAGTTTGTTTAATATTGAAGGTTTATTTATAATCCAAGCATAATCTGGGATATGTATTATTCTTTATATATTCTCTTTTGTTTTCTTTAATGGAAACTTTTAAAGTTTAATAGTCCATCCTAACCCAGTTTAGTTGCTGTTTTGTTTATAGTTTTAACACATGGTTACTCATTCATCTCTGGTATATGACATCACTCATAAAATAAATCCTGGTCTTCCTTTATTATTAATTCATAAGTTTATCAGAGATAGAGAAAACAGATGCCTGTGTATTCTCATTCTAGGTCTAACTCCCCCCAACCCCACCCACTGCTTCTCCTAGCTAACTACTTTGCAGAAATAGATTCTTTTTACTATTTCTTTTTTTGTGAAGCTGTCCTTGGCTTTCATGACTTCCCTTTTTGTTCTTTTTGTCTTTCTGATCACGCTTTATGAGTTCCACTTTGACTATATCTCTGACTTTCTCTTTTCCCATCTCTATGTGATGAGGTTTTTCTTTGAATTCTGTCTTTGCTCTCAGGGGAGCCACATGAACATTTATTTCCTATCCCCTAAATCTTGTGTACCATCTGTCTCTCTTGAGTGTTGGGCCTGTATTTTCAAGTACTGAGTAGATCATTTCACTTCAGAAACTCATTGTAAAGTGAACTCAGTGTGTTCAGATCACATCCAACTCTCTGTAGAAGCAGTTTCTGTTTCTGATAATGGCTTCATCATTCATCATGTCTTTAGTCTCCCAGTCGCGAATCTTTAGGGTAGTCTGAGGTTTCTTCTTACACACTGGGCTCTCCACATGACACTTCTGTCCCTTAGCTCCTATTCCTAAGGACAATATCCTACTTATGGCCTTCATAATCTTATATCAGTGATTTGAGGAATATAATTACTAGTCAATAGGCCTTCTATTTTTCCTTTCTCTAGTATATAATTATCAAATAATTATTTTCCAGAGTTCAGACAGTATAACTCTGTCACTCAGACATTTCTAATGATTCTCTATTCAGTTTTAATTTAAATAAGAATTATCCAAATATTTTGTGGATGCTACTTTTTATTTTACAAATTTATCACTTTTAATCATCTCTACTTTTCTTTAACAACCTCAGTTTGTGTACACTTATTCCTAAATTAAACCTGTGAACTATATTTTCAATATAGATATTCACAAAAATATAAAAAATCAGTGAAATAAGCTAAATCACCATTTTGATTATGTTTATTTAAATATAGATACACTTGATCATAGTGAAGTATAATTAAAATAATATTTTAGAGAATGTTGACTGTGCTTTGATCTTTGAAAATCTTGTAAAATGTTTTAATAAGAGTTCTTTGAAATTCAGCTTCTAAGTTGTTTATTTTGATTTTTTGACATTTAGTCTTAATGACTTTCTAAAATAAAAAAGATAGTCCACAGACTATATCAGAAATGAAAGAAATGTATTAAAGACAGTACTTTCCAAATCTTGCTACCTGTTTTCTAGGTTTGGAATTGAAAACTACTTTTTAAAGTTGTGGAATTTCTATAAATAAATGTTAACCTAACTTGATACCAGTCATTTATTCCTGTTATCACAAAATGTGGTGTTTTAAAATGGTTTTTTTTTAGCAAACAGGTTGAAAACCCACTGGCGTTCTTTACCTACAAAGTTTATAAACAGATTAAATTATTCTGTCTAAAGTTTGTTTGAAAAGGCAAACATGACAACTTTTTAAAATGATATGTCATTTTATCCAGCATAATCACATGATGTTTTTCCAGTTATCTATCTTCAAAGGATTGTGTACACATCATAATTCTCTTGAAGAGACAGCTTGTGTTTATTTTTCCCCACATACTTTCTAGTTATCATACTGATAATCAGAGTTTACTTTCTTCCTAAATATATATAATATATAATATGTAGCATATTACTAATCACCATTTGTCATCACCAAAACGTTCAACCACTATGGGGTTCTTCTACTTTTGTAAAAACAAAAAATTAAATCTTCACAAACTTTTTAAATTAATTTCTCATGAGGTAATCAGCAAACCTCTATGGATAGAATAAATTCTTAGTTATTCTTTACCTAAGTACAAAATATTAAAGATATTATTCAAAAGATAAAGGTCTCATTACAGTATGTCCATATCTGTAAAATCCTGAGGTACTCTGCAATACTGTCTTACTTGTAAAAGATGCAGTAAATGAATTTTGTATGTACTGCTATCTCTGTAGCCTTATTCTTTTTTTTTTTTTGTAAATTAATTTATTTATTTTAATTGGAGGCTAATTACTTTACAGTATTATAGTGGTTTTTGCCATACATTCACATGAATCATCCATGGGTGAACATGTGTCCCCTATCCTGAACTTAAAAAATAATTCTAGAGTAGCATTGAAACATACATTACTATATGTAAAATAGATAACCGGTGGAAATTTGCTATGCGACACAGGTAGCTCAACCCAGTTCTCTGTGACAACCTAGAGGGCTGGAATGGAGCAGGAGGTGAGAGGGAGGTCAAGATAGAGAGGACATGTGTATAGCTATGGCTGACTCATGTTGATTTATGGCAGAAACCAACACAACGTTGTAAAGCAATTATCCTCCAATTAAAATAAATTAATTAATAATAATAATTCCAATCAAAAGAACCACTCCTCAGAATTTGACATACAGTTTTTTTCATTAATATAGATACGCCTTTTAAAACAAATCACTCAGTATTAAACCACTTAGTAGCTCACAGTAGTAATATTTTACTATTGAAACAAAAATAATGAATATTATAAACTGAGCATGTTAGAAACATCTGCACTTTGATTTTATTGCCAAACCTTTTGCTATTTACTTTGTCCTAATGATTTTCCCCAAACCTTCCACACACAGTTATTTCTTTCTTCTTTGCAATGATACTGGTTAACAAAGAAATGCAGTTTGACTTGTCACCATGTTATTTTCTACGTATTACTTCAGCCATATTTCCATGGCAGAAAAACCAAGTTTCCCCAAGTGTTACATGATTTTTTTGTCTTTTCCTGTTCAATAAGACAGCAGCTCAAAAGGAGATCTTAAGTGTTTATTTCAACTTGTTGAGTATTTGTTCAAAGTACTGGAATGTTTATCTGCCAAAAATATTAGAAGTCTGTGATAGTGTTATAGGATCACTTGCTATAATTAGCCAGCACATGATATGCTGAAGCAAGGTTTGTTAATAGCAATAACATATGCAATATAGATATCAAATAATTTTCCTAGTTATGGCACATTTTTTACTAACTGTGTGTCAGATCTGATTTAACTTGATCATCACAGCTTTTACCTTGACATGTTGCTGATGAAAAACTGATAACATTATGAAGAATGTCAGCTTCTTCATAAATATGCTTGTGTGTTTTCTAATGTTATTAACATTATCTTTAACACATGATTTTTTGTGAGAATATCTTGTCTACCACTTACCTATTATAGGAACATTGGTTTGCTTGAAATTAGGTAATAGAAACCACAACTGAACCATAAGCTTCAATTTAAAGGTGAGCAAATAAAGTAACTGCCTTGCTATGAATTTTTACAGTATAACTCCCAGTTTTCTCCCAGGATTCTTCAGAGAACATATGAGAAATCAAAGAATGCTGGTGTCAATCTATTTATTAAAATTTGTAAAATGTGATTTCTATTTGGGATTTAAAAAGACACTAAAAATTCTACATATTTATTTCCTAAAAGTATTTACATTTTGCATACCTGGCCTCAACTGAGAACTTCTCCCTAAATACTTAAGTTGGCTTTCCCAGCCCTCTGGACTATGGCTTCACAATAACTTGCAAGCAACCTAGTATTCCGCCATCAATGAGAGGTAGAAAACCAGCCAAGAATGCCTTTGTGTGAATCCCAAAGGTGGCTTGTGCCATCTTCCTTCTGAACCTGAATTCAGTTTATCTCTGTGCGCTAGTGCTATTTTCCTGTCAGAAAAATCCCACTCGGACCTCTCCCTTATGGCAGTCACTTCTACTGTTCAAATACTCTATAATGATTACTTTTAAATTGCTTTTTATTTTAAATCATAATAATAGTCAATTTATCTCTCACTATGTTCTGAGCACTGTGTTAGGTGCCTTATCACTTAGAGCACGTAACTATTGATAAGCTAAATATTTTATCTGTTTTAAAGAGGAGGAAACTAAATTTGTTACGCCCAAGATCACAAGGCTGAGAAGCAGCAAAGCTAAGATTATAGTCCACTTCTGCTTATAAAGGCTGGGCTCCTAAATACTATACATAATGCTGCCTCCCCATGACACTTCTAGCACACTACCTTTTCATTAATATAATTATCCAACTCCCTTAGCAATTCCCACTCTAATCCCAGGCACTTTGTATATTTTTTTACTTTGTTTATATGTTGACATTATTTTATTTATTCATTTGTCATGTGCATCATTCATATTGTTACAGTATGTTGTTTGCATTTCTTTATTGCCACATCATTTTGTCTCTCCACTCATTCCTGTCTTTCAAAATGTGTTAGTCAAATGGAATTAAAATGTATCCTGAAATATAATAAATACTTTTAAAGGTGTATTCTTCTTTGTTTTTTTAGTTTAATATTTGAAAATTATATGTTACACTGAAACAGAATACTGCTTGTCTGCATTTGATATATTACATTGAAAACTTATAGCTCTCTTGATTTAAAAAAACACAAAATTTGAACATCCTTTAGCATAAACTTTTATTTCTAGTTAAAATGATCCAGTAGTTAGTATTTATGTATAGCCATGGTATATAAATTCAGCATAATTGTATAGGAGGGAAAATGATGAGGTTTTCTGCAGTGAAAAGGATTCCCATGTATGTGGGACTATCCAATTTTCTCTCCAAGTCCAGTAAATTTGTGGATTTAATCTGTTTACACTGTTCAGAATATTCAGACTAGCAATCTTTTGACCAAACATTGTATAACTGATTAAAGGTTATTCATCTGTTGTTTTCCTTTGGCCTGTTAAACTTAAATAACTTGGAGGACATTAAGCAAAAACTTAATATTGCTTCCTTTCTTTGTACAGTCTTATATTTAACCAAGAATTCAGTTCATAACTCCAATAAGTTTTTTTTAAAAAAAAAAAAAACCTTCCATTTGCCTTCAACATGGAAGCCTAAGAGTTTAACATCTCTGAAAAAGGCAGGACTAAGTTTGGCAGTACAAAAATGCCTTGATAATAGAGAAGGCCTCAAGATAGGATGGCATGAGAAGGTGTCAAGTGATTCTTAATTCATCACTGCCTCTCTCTGACCAGTCTTCAAGTCAATAAAGGGCAATGGAATATTGAAAGGAAAAGTATGCTACACTTTCTGCTTTGGGTTAGTAAGAAAATATGAATCTTCATTTCTTAAAATTTTGAATAGTTGTTTCATATACAAAGACTACAAAGTACAGAATTCTATACATGGAGAAAAAGTGCAACATATACAAAAAAATAAAAGTCAGTGAAATAGAGTCTAATGCTAAATGTACTTAGAAAAATACAGTGAAAATGTGTTCCTCAGGGAACTGAAAAATAACATTTCACTTTTCTTTTAACAAGTGTGCTTAAATTATGAATACTTAACTTCCCACTCACTTCCTCAATCTAAGATTGAAGACTTTAAAGGGACTATACCTGGAATTTTATTCTTATGTAATAATTTTAGAGGTCATTCTGGACTGTATTTGCATTGCATGTAATAAATTAAATGCATAATTCCAACTCCTATCAATTCAAATGACAAAAATAATGAGTAAATAAGAGAACTCAGGGATATTTAAACACATATGTACATATGTGTTATATATGTAATCTATGCATATGCTTTAGAATCATTTGAATCTATTCATTTTATTAAATCTTAATATGTTACTAAATAGCTTAATGTTCTTCTCAGTAGAAAATATACAGCCACACATTTTTGAAGCAACTAAAGGAAAACTCCCAATTTTTTAGTCCTAGGGAATTAGAACTTTGAAAGAAAATAAGCCTCCATTGCATGACTCCTTTCATCACAGTCTTCTGGAGTTACAGTACTTCAAATATTAATTTAAAGTTTGAATAACTAGAGAAAATCAGACCAAACTTACACACTATGCTGTATATTCTTCTCTTAGTACTGGATACTCTTTCTTTTTTGATCAAATTATTCCCCCCTTAAGAAATGTACTCATAAAGCAAGAGTTTGTGGTGTTAAATCTGTAATTGACCAGTTAACCTGCATGGATACAAATTGCACTAGAACTTTAACCCAGATATCTCACAAACAAGTGTGAATAGCCACAGAAAGGATAAGTGGATAGAGAGATAAGCACCTCATTATGCTGATCTCTATATGTGAAGAACAACTTTTTTATTGTTTTAGTAGCAGCAGATGAAAAGAGGAATGTACAGGTTTCTTAAAGAGGCGAAGGGGTTAGTTGGTGTGTGATCTGATAGTACACTAATAGTAATGGAGCAGAAGGTCACTCACCTCTGCCAGGGAGTTCACACTTACGCTAGTTGTATGAGAGAAATTGACACTGTGAGTTTTTTCAGTGATCATGGTATAAGTACATGACCAATTGTTCCTGCTAAACAATTCAGCCAAATGCCCTTTGATCAGTTAACTTGATTTACTTATTAAACACTCCAGACACTTTATCTTAGACCCACAGTCCTGTAGAACAACATCTTTGCAGACCTGTTCCACCTTATAATATGGAAAGGAAGTCTTTTAGGTGAAAAATCATCATAGCATCATCATAGGTAAATGATGATTGAATCTCATGAGGAGTATAGAGGAAAGAAACCAGGAGGGAGAAGTCAGTAGAACATAACACTGAGAAAAGAAGGAAAGCATGAACACATCCAGAAGAGCATATAAGGGGGATTGTAGGGTAGGGATTTTGATATTTATGCATTTGAGTCTTCTGTCTGTGTATCTTAATTTCCTTTGTTATGTTGTGTATGTCTGATCCAAATCTTATTTTTGTAAAATGCCAATAGAGCCTTCGGAATTCATTGTATAAAATTAAAATTTATTCTTTATTATACTCAATAAATTGTTATATATAACCATAGTTGCATTTCCTCCTTATATGTATACTTTTATTACATTGTTATGTATTGTAATATGTGTAGACTCACAATGAAGAACACAAATTACACCATCAAAATTTTATTATGAAGGATCATTTTCTTGACCTGTTTTTCACAAGGAGCTTAGGTCCCCACCCCTGTGGTTATGGTATTTAGTGAAAGGTGGAAATATAGGAAAGTAAAGATGTAGAAAGCATACTGGACTCAAAATGTTGTGCTCTGGTATTGTGTGAGATGTGAGCAGTCACAGTGGAGATCCCTAGAAAAACCATCTAGAAAGTTTATGAGAACACTGTTTCACCTGTGATTACCTCTTCAATTTATAGCTCTTAAGAGAAATGAACCAGGTAGTTGGGTGCTTGTCAACCCAACTACTATGATCTCACAATGGCAGATAAGTATTCCTTTTTTAGAAAGACATCAAGAATGGTCCAGGGAAGTTAATTTGTAGTAATCCAAAGGGCAGGCATTGTTTTTTGCTTACATGTTGTGAAGAATGTATCAGACTCTTTTTTAATCATCATGTTTTAAATTCTGCAAAAATATTTTACCCTATAATGTGCTCAAGATATATCTTTATCCATAAAGACAGATATTGAAATGGAAATGAATGTAAAATGAGTAGAGTAATGTGAATGAAGGTAAAATTTCAAGTATTTTCAAGTCTTTAGACATTTATAAGTGATATTTATTAAATTTCTTTGAGATGGGATGCTGAAGACGTGATCTAATAACTCTAGAAAAATAACAGATATTTCTCTTTAGCTGAAGCTTTCAGTCACACCAGTGATCACATAGCTTTTTCAAATTTTACAGTTTCTAAACATTCATTTCAAGTGATACAGAGCTTAACAATTGTGATATAGGGATTAGCAATAGTGATATAGAGATTAACAATCATCCTAAGTGAAATATAGCATTTTACATCTTTCAGAGTGTCTTTAAAAGGCAATGCCTTGTTTGACCTCTCTCTCTCTCAAAAAAAAAGAATCCTTTGCAGTAGGTGAGATGAATATTATTATGGTCATGTTACCTGCTTATTTCTGTTAAGTAAATATATCCCATACAGTTTATAGCCAAGTACAAAGGCCATTCTCTGATTCTTTGTTTGCCTATCCTAATAATCCAAAAGTATTAATTAGTTAAGAGAAACTTACTAAAGATTTTCTTTGGCCATTTGACTTCTTACCCAAAGTAAATGTACTGAGAAAGATAATCATGTTTTTGAAGGAAAATGGTTTTGAGATATAAAATGATACTTCAATGAAATAAAATCAGTTGTGCTTGAGAACTGACATTTGATTAAACTTAATTAAATGAAAACTAATCTTAATATGTATCAACTATTTTTATTTTTTGTGCTGATAGATTTTTTAAAATCCTATTATATAGTTGAAAAATTCCTATAATTTCTCCTCAGTAATAGTTATTTGAGAGTAATGGGGAGGCTGTGTTATCAGTTTACCCATGTTAAGTTTTCCTGTATCTTTTCCTCCCTGCTAGGAAAAGGAAGAAGACAAATCAGACACTTCAAGTTCTCAGCAACCGAAAAGCCCACAAGGTCTTAGTGACACAGGATATTCTTCTGATGGAATATCAAGTTCACTTGGTGAAATTCCAAGTCTTATTCCCGGTGATGAAAAGGATTTGCTCAAGGGACTCAAAAAGGATTCCTTTTCACAAGAAAGCAGCCCTTCCAGCCCCTCAGATTTGGCTAAGTTAGAAAGTACAGTCCTATCTATTTTAGAAGCTCAGGCAAGTACACTTGTTGAAGAAAAGTCAGAAAAGAAAACACAGCCCCATGAGGTTTCTCCTGAGCAGCCTAAGGACCAGCAGAAAACTCAGAGTTTAGAGGAAAAACTGGAATCTACAGTTCCAGAAGTAGAGCTCAAAGAGAGTCATGAAGAAGGAGACACTTTTAAAAAAGAGAGCCAACAAGACCTTCCTTCCAGAAAGGATCAAGAAAAGCCTGAATTTGTTGACGAGTTGGCTACAAGGAGACAGCCTTATGATTCAATTGAAGACAGTAGTGAAAGCGAAAACTCACCTGTTCCACAGAGAAAAGGGAGGCCTAGTGTTGGTTCATCAAGCAGTGATGAGTATAAACAGGAAGACAGCCAAGGATCAGGTGAAGAGGAGGACTTCATTCGAAAGCAAATCATAGAAATGAGTGCTGATGAAGATGCTTCAGATTCTGAAGATGATGAGTTCATTAGGAACCAGCTCAAAGAGATTAGCAGTAGTATAGAAAGCCAGAAGAAGGAAGAAGCCAGAGGGAAGGGGAAAGGACCAGGAGGGAAACACAGGCGACTGACGCGAAAAAGTAGTGCAAGCTTTGATGACGATGCAGGAAGACGCCATTCCTGGCATGATGAAGATGATGAGACCTTTGATGAAAGTCCTGAGCTTAAATACAGAGAAACTAAAAGTCAGGAGAGTGAAGAACTTGTAGTTGCCGGAGGAGGAGGACTCCGTCGATTTAAAACAATTGAACTCAACAGCACGATAGCAGATAAATATTCTACAGAGCCATCACAGAAAAAAACAGCTTTGTATTTTGATGACGAGCCAGAATTAGAAATGGAAAGCCTGACAGACTCTCCGGAAGATCGATCAAGGGGGGAAGGGTCTTCTAGTCTTCATGCTTCCAGCTTCACTCCTGGCACATCCCCTACATCCGTTTCTTCTCTGGACGAAGACAGTGATAGTAGTCCAAGTCACAAAAAAGGAGAAAGCAAACAGCAACGCAAAGCTCGACATAGATCACACGGCCCTCTTTTACCTACCATTGAAGATTCTTCAGAGGAAGAAGAATTGAGAGAAGAAGAAGAATTATTAAAGGAGCAAGAAAAGCAACGGGAATTAGAACAGCAGCAAAGAAAGAGTTCTAGTAAGAAATCAAAGAAAGACAAAGATGAACTTCGAGCTCAGAGAAGGAGGGAAAGACCAAAGACACCACCCAGTAATCTCTCTCCCATCGAAGACGCATCTCCAACAGAAGAATTACGCCAGGCTGCAGAAATGGAGGAGCTCCATCGATCTTCGTGTTCTGAATATTCACCTAGCATAGAGTCAGACCCAGAAGGCTTTGAAATAAGCCCAGAAAAAATAATCGAAGTACAAAAAGTTTATAAATTGCCCACAGCTGTGTCTTTATACTCACCGACAGATGAGCAATCTCTTATGCAGAAAGAAGGTGGCCAAAAGGCATTAAAAAGTGCTGAGGAGATGTATGAAGAAATGGTGCATAAAACCCAGAAATATAAAGCTTTTCCAGCTGCAAATGAACGAGACGAAATGTTTGAAAAAGAGCCTTTGTATGGGGGGATGCTAATAGAAGATTATATTTATGAATCTTTAGTAGAAGACACATACAATGGTTCAGTTGACAGCAGTCTGCTCACGAGGCAAGAAGAAGAAAATGGATTTTTGCAGCAGAGAGGGAGAGAGCAAAAAATGAGACTTCCAGAACAGATTTATGAAGATCCCATGCAGAAAATTACAGACCTCCAGAAAGAGTTTTATGAGTTAGAAAATTTACATGCTGTTTTGCCTCAAGAAGACATCGTTTCAAGTTCTTTTATCATCCCAGAAAGCCATGAGATTGTTGATCTGGGTAGTATGGTAACTTCTACCAGTGAGGAAAAAAAATTATTAGATGCTGATGCTGCCTATGAAGAACTCATGAAAAGGCAACAGATGCAGTTAACACCTGGATCTAGTCCAACCCAGCCCCTCATCAGAGACGATATGACAGAGTCCACTGTGGACTTTGATAGGGTGCCTGATGCATCTTTGACATCAAGTGTTCTCTCGGGAGCATCTCTTACAGATTCAACCAGCAGCACAACACTCTCCATCCCAGATGTTAAAATAACCCAACATTTTTCAACAGAAGAAATTGAGGATGAATATGTGACTGATTATACAAGAGAAATTCAAGAGATAATTGCTCATGAATCACTGATTTTGACCTATTCTGAACCTTCAGAAAGTGCTACATCAGTCCCACCCTCTGACACACCCTCTCTCACATCATCTGTTTCTTCAGTTTGTACCACAGATAGCTCCTCACCCATTACTACCCTGGATAGCATGACCACAGTTTATACGGAGCCAGTGGACATTGTAGCTAAATTTGAAGATGCTGAGGAAATTTCTTCATCAACATATTTCCCAGGCAGCATTATAGACTATCCAGAAGACATAAGTACACCTTTAGATCAGACAACCATACGGGATGGTAGAACTAGTACAGATCACATTGTTATTTCCTTATCTGATATAAAACCTTCTCTCATAGAATCTGTAGGAACTAAACTTGAGGGGCTAATTGCTGACACTGTTTCTGCTGACTTATCTATATCTGAAAAAGATGCAGCAAAGAAGGCCAGAAAGGAAACAGGGGATGGACTTATTCTGGAAGTTTTGGAAGCTTATAGAGATACTAGGAAGGAGTCTGAGGCTGAACTGACAGAAATTAGCTTACCTGACGCTGTGTTTGATCAGACACCTTCTTCCGTAAAAACCCTTCCAATGAAGGAGCAGGTTTCAACAACATGCTTTTTTCCTGAAGAGGTTTTGGGTCAAGCAAAACCCACATCTCAGCTACCATCTGGCACTCCTCCCGTTTTCTCTCTTCCAACTAAAACTCGTCCATTCCTTCGAAGTTCTTCTTTGGACACATCAGCCCAGCCCCCGCCCCCACCACCTCCCCCTCCGCCACCTCCTCCCCCTCCCCCTCCTCCCCCTCCACCACCTCTTCCTCCTCCTACCTCACCTAAACCAACTATTCATCCTAAAAAAAAGTTAGCGGTTACAGCTCCAGTGACTGCAGCTACTGCAGCGACATCTCTAGTAGATTCTGTTCCTACAGTGGAGACCACATCTGCTCCCAGAAGTAATGGGTTACCTATGACAAAAATATATACCACTGCACCTCCTCCTGTTCCTCCTAAGCCATCCTTAATTCCATCTGGACTTGTATTTACACATAGACCTGAGCCAAGCAAACCTCCACTTGCTCCTAAACCAGCAGTTCCTCAACCTCCAGTCACTACCCCAAAACCAACAGATACGTACCCCAAACTAACAGGTCTACCTTTAACTACAAGTATGACATTAAATTTAGTGACATCAGCAGACTATAAATTGCCTTCCCCTACCTCTCCACTTTCCCCTCAATCTAACAAGTCCTCGCCAAGATTTTCCAAGTCTCTTATGGAAACTTACGTGGTTATCACATTGCCATCTGAACCTGGCACTCCAACAGATGCTTCACCTAGTCAAGCTATTACCAGTTGGCCGTTGGGATCACCCCCCAAAGATCTGATTTCCATCGAACCAGTATTTTCTGTAGTTCCTCCTATAACAGCTGCAGAAATATCAGCTTCTTCACAACAGAGCCTGTACATCTCCAGAGCTTTGGAGACATTTGCTGCTATCCCAGTCACAACACTGTCTTCATTTCAAGCAACTTCAGCTTCAGTTACACAGTTTCACGCAACTGAAGTTTCCAAGGCTGAAGTTCCAACAGCAAGAAGTACAGTCCCTAGTGTTGGTCTCAGCAGTGTCTCTATATCCTTTCCTCCAGAGCCTCTTGCTCTTGATCACCTCCGTTTAGAGAAGCAGCAGCATAAAGAAGATGTCCAGTTGCAACTTGTTGGTGATGCCATTGATCTGCGTACAGTACCCAAAGTAGATGTTAAAGTAACTGAAAAATGTATGGATCTTTCTGCCTCTGCAGTGGATGTGAAGAGGCAGACCACAACAAGTGAAATGTATGGGAGACAAATTAGTGCTGTCCAGCCCTCAATTATAAATCTCAGTGCAACTTCATCAGGAGTGACTCCTATACCCCTGGTCACCGAGACAGTGACTGTTGTCACATGCACAGCTACTGCAAGTTACACCACAGGCACAGAAAGCCTAGTGGGTCTAGAACTTGCAACAGCAGCACCACTCCAGCTTACTACATCAAAGCATGTGGAGCCACCACACAGAGTGCCAAGTGGCCAGATCTTTCCTACAATTAGGGAGGAAGCACCAATAAATTTATCTTTAAGTACTTCTGCACATGCCGTGACATCAGCTCCTACGAAACCTGTTACTGCACCTCCTGTTGGTGTCACAAATGGATGGACTGATAGCTCCACATCCCAGAGCATCACTGACGGGGAAGTGGTGGATCTCAGTACCTCCAAAGCTCATAAAACTGTTGTAACAATGGATGAAGCTTCTTCAAATGTGGTGACTAAAATAATAGAAGATGATGAAAAACCTGTTGATCTGACTGCTGGAAGAAGAGCTGTGTGCTGTGATGTGGTTTATAAGTTACCCTTTGGAAGAAGCTGCACGGCACAGCAGCCTGCAACCACTCTTCCTGAGGATCGTTTTGGTTATAGGGATGATCACTATCAATATGATCGATCAGGGCCATATGGTTATAGAGGGATTGGGGGAATGAAACCTTCCATGTCTGACACTAATTTAGCAGAAGCTGGACATTTTTTCTATAAAAGTAAGAATGCTTTTGATTATTCTGGAGGAACTGATGCAGCAGTAGATCTTACTTCAGGGAGAATTACTACAGGTCAGTATGATGTAGCAACAGACCTTTCCTTGAAATATCATGGTGTTCCTCATCTCATTTCAGGATGACAATGTGGTCTTATTTTCAGTTTTCTTATTTTTTTACCTTTCTTTGGATGTTTTGGCAATATATTTTGGAGTACATGTGCACTTTTGTTTCTCCATTTTAAAAAAAAATTTGTTCCACCCAAAGTCACCTGCATGTGCCTGCATGTTCAACATTGCTTTTATTCTGCACCTGAGTAGGTTGATAACCTGTGGATTTGCATGCAGTCCTGTTCATTATGTTCTTCAAGACTGAGAGGGCTTTCCAACCCCAAAAGCATCATTCATTCTAGGAACTGGACTATAACTCTCCCCTGTATTTCAGGTGAGGTAATGGATTATTCAAGCAAGACTACAGGTCCATATCCAGAAACTCGACAAGTCATTTCAGGAGTTGGGATTAGTACCCCGCAGTATTCTACAGCAAGAATGACTCCACCTCCAGGACCCCAGTATGGTGTGGGGAGCGTTTTGAGGTCATCTAATGGGGTTGTCTATTCTTCAGTAGCAACTCCAATTCCTTCCACGTTTGCTATCACCACACAGCCTGGCTCCATTTTCAGCACCACCATGAGGGATTTGTCTGGTGTGCACACAAATGACGCCATGACTTCCTTATCCGCCCTGCACCAAAGTCAGCCCATGCCTAGATCCTATTTCCTAACAACTGGTGCATCCGAAACAGACATTGAAGTCACTGGTATTGACATCAGTGCCAGTTTGCAGACTATTACTATGGAGACTCTCACGGCTGAGACAATGGACTCGGTTCCCACCCTGACCACAGCGTCTGAAGTATTTCCCGAAGTGGTGGGAGAGGAAAGTGCGCTTTTAATCATCCCCGAGGAAGATAAGCAACAACAGCAGCTAGATTTGGAGCGTGAGCTCTTGGAACTGGAAAAGATCAAGCAACAGCGTTTTGCTGAGGAGTTGGAGTGGGAACGGCAGGAGATTCAAAGGTTCCGAGAACAGGAAAAGATCATGGTTCAGAAGAAGCTGGAGGAGCTGCAGTCAATGAAGCAGCACCTCCTCTACCAGCAGGAGGAGGAGCGGCAAGCCCAGTTCATGATGAGGCAGGAGACACTAGCGCAACAACAGTTGCAGCTGGAACAGATCCAACAGCTGCAGCAACAGCTTCACCAGCAGCTGGAGGAGCAGAAGATCCGCCAGGTCTACCAGTATAACTATGACCCTTCCGGAACTGCCTCTCCACAGACCACTGCAGAGCAGGCCATCCTGGAAGGTCAGTATGTTGCCCCAGAAGGTGGTCAGTTCTGGGCGACCGAAGATGCAACCACCACGGCCTCAGCTGTGGTGGCGATTGAAATACCACAGAGCCAGGGATGGTACACGGTTCAGTCTGACGGGGTGACTCAGTACATTGCCCCACCTGGCATTCTGAGTACTGTTTCAGAAATACCTCTGACAGATGTAATCGTCAAAGAGGAGAAACAACCCAAGAAGAGAAGTTCTGGAGCTAAAGTCCGCGGCCAGTACGACGAGATGGGGGATAATCTGGCAGATGACCCCCGCTGCTTTAAAAAGATAGTGGACAGTGGGGTACAGACTGACGATGAAGATTCAGCAGATCGGAGTTACGTGAGTAGGAGAAGGAGAACTAAAAAGAGTGTCGATACAAGTGTCCAAACGGATGACGAAGATCAGGATGAATGGGACATGCCTGCTAGATCTAGGAGGAAAGCTCGCGTAGGGAAATACGGCGACAGCCCTGCAGAGGCGGACAAGGCCAAACCCCCTTCCAAAGTCTCCAGCATAGCCGTACAAACAGTAGCAGAGATATCTGTGCAAACTGAACCAGTCGGAACCATAAGAACACCTTCGATACGGGCACGCGTGGATGCCAAGGTAGAAATAATTAAACACATTTCAGCACCTGAAAAGACTTACAAAGGGGGCAGTTTAGGATGTCAAACAGAAGCAGATTCAGACACACAGAGTCCTCAATATCTGAGTGCCACCTCTCCACCCAAAGACAAGAAACGCCCAACACCTTTAGAAATTGGTTATTCATCTCACCTCCGGGCAGATTCCACACTACAGCTGGCTCCTTCCCCACCCAAATCTCCAAAAGTCCTTTATTCTCCCATCTCACCACTTTCACCAGGCAAAGCCTTAGAATCAGCCTTTGTACCTTATGAGAAACCCCTCCCTGATGATATAAGTCCACAGAAAGTACTGCATCCAGATATGGCTAAAGTTCCCCCAGCAAGTCCTAAGACAGCCAAGATGATGCAGCGCTCCATGTCTGACCCCAAGCCTCTGAGTCCAACAGCAGACGAAAGTTCCAGGGCTCCTTTTCAGTATACCGAGGGCTACACGGTAAGAGTGCTTCTTTTCAGTTAGAAGACAATGGCTGAGTTGATGTTAACTGTGTGTTTGCAGACTTTAGGAGGCCATGACACTCCTGGTGCCTAATTCTAAATTTCAATGAGGACTATTTCATTAGAAAATTTGGCCGGGGCAGGGGGTGGGGAAGCAGAAAAGTGTACATCCATGTAGAAATACAAAGAAAAAAAAAGACAAAATGAGAAAAGTGTGGGCTGATTTCAGTGAATATAACTAATATTCACATATGGTAGAATAAGTATTGAACATAAATAGATAAGGCAAAGGATGACCAAAAATTTAAACCCATGGATACTGGAATTCTTAGTGGGAGGATCCTTGAAGATCATTTAATCAATCTTCTTCCTTCTGCCAGAATGTTAATCTTTGCTGCTCAAAATAAAGGATTTCTAGGGCATAAAGTATAATTTAATCTTCATAGTTCATCCATGCTTATTTTGTTTCTGGCAATTTCCTGAATCTAATGTCAAGTAAGCCTTAATCTTGGTGCCTACAGAAGAAAAATTAATGTTTTTATGTTTCTTCAAATAGGTTTAATTGATAATTATTTTAAGTTTAATAATTTGAGTTTATTTAAAATATGCTTCAAAGTGAAAGGAGCATATATAGGAATGTTAGACATATTTGTGAAGATCTCTATACCGGGGAATAAGGAATGTTAATAATCAGGTAAAAAGGCAGGTTATCTACTTCAAGAAAACCTAATATATATCATTAGAAGGTTATTGATAAATTAATAGTTCTATTTAAAACAAGATTTATGTTTATATTAAAAGTTCCCCTAATTACACTGATTTCTGAACTGTAGATCTTAAAACCCTGAAGCTTTTAAATAGGTTTTTCTGAGAAATTACCCTATTGCAACTGACCCAAATGTGTTAAACACTGGCTGTGGGCTGAAAAATGTGCCATCGTATGTAAATGTAAGCCAATTTTTAGGTATATAGGCATATTAATAGTCATACTGATAAATTAAAATCCTTATTTAAGTGTTCCAGTTTCGTAGGGGCATTTTGTTATTATGTACTTTCTCAAAAAGGGTGTATAAACTGTCTTCACGTGGGGGATAGAGGTCATAACTTTTTTTAAAAAATGTATTTATCATAACTTGTAAGTCAGGGAAACACTGCTACATTTAGATTTCATTCAGTTTTTGTGTATGGCTTTGTTTCTAGAATTATATATATTGTTAGAAATATTTTTAACTTAGTTGTAATGTATAGGTATTTATTTTTACTGCAGCGACCTATGAATTCACCTAAAGAGTTATCTAGAAATATTTGAAAATACAATTTTTAGCAGTATTTTAAAGTTGAACTCAAGACTTCTGTCACAGAGAGAACAGCCTTCCCCACGTGGTGTATTGACCACTAATTTAACATTTCACCTTATACTCTTAATTCAAATGAACTCAGGTATAGAAGAGATTCAAGGTGTCAATATTTTTCCTCACAGTATTCTCTTGGGTTTTAGAAGTATGAAATGAAAGATACAGTGGGTTGTATGTATTGTGTTATTGATTGTAGTGGTGATATTGTTTAACTATTTAATCCTAGAAGAAGTTGGATAGAATTACCAAATAATACTCTGAGCCTGAAAAATCTTAAATGTATTGAGCTTTGGAACACAATCAGGTAGCTCCCTTTTCTAAGTGGTCACACTCAGTGCAGGCTTTAATATGGAATAATTGTATACAAACTCAAAAATACTGTTTTATTGTATGCATAAGGTAACCATTTTATATACAGGCAATGTTCTTAGCACTTTAGATACTCTGAGTAAAGATGGGAATTTTATAATTTATTTCTTGGAAAATTTCTAAACATTCCTTGTGTTCATTTTAAACTAAAACCAGTCTCTCAATTATAAACATAAATTACTAAATATTAGTTGTACTGAAAAGAATAATCAAAGTGATATTTATGGTGATGCAAGTTTATTTAGCTCAGTAATTTCCATATTGTTAATTTTCTCAAACCAATAAAATTGAAAAAAAATTACACCATCCAATCAACATTGAGATGACATAGTAACACATATAATTCAGCATGAAAGATCAGTTTTATACTGCATGAAATTCTGTAGTAAGTTCTCTTCCTGGAAGTACCAGGAAAGGTTTCAAGGGAGGAAGTTCTCAAACAGGAAGGTGAGATTTCTGTTGGACCATGAAGAGCAAACTGGAAGTCATTCTAGAGGATACAGATATACAAGGGTTCAGACTGATGAACAGACAGAAAATAAAGAGGAGGAGAAAAGGATTTACTATAAATGAAAGATAAGGAAGGGATAGGTCCCAGAGAATCTAATTTGCTCAGTTCAGGTTTGGCTTTACTTCCCTTGCCTGTGGGAAGCCTTACCCAAGCCACCATCATTTTTTATTTACATTATGCCCTAGGCCCTGGACTCCTCCACTCTTGCCTTCCTTACAGTCTGTTCTCTAAACTGCACCTCTAAACTGATTTTCTAAAGTGTACATAAGATTATGTCACACACTCTCCAGTAGATTCTCAGAAATCCGTTAGGGTATATTAGAGATTTCTTAGCAAGCACCCTTGTGATCTGGTCTTTGCCTGTCTCACAGCCTCATCAGTCACTCTCCACATTTACCCCTCCTTCTCACTCTGCTCCAACCACTGACCTTGCTGGTCTTTGGGTGTGCCTCATCCCCACCCAGGGAGCCTGTTCAGAGCTCTCTTTCCCGAGATGGTTGTCTGACTCACTGCTGTGTACAGATTTCTGGTTAAATTTCACTTCCACAGAGAAGTTCTCCTTACTTCAGTCTCTAAATACACCTATCACCTTGAATTCCTGCACCCTCCAAACATGTATATTAATGTGTTAGTACATATTTAATCAAATATCATCTACTTTACCCTGTAGAATATAACCTCTGCAAAAGCAGGAACTTTTGCTATAATCGAAGAGCCTAGAACAGCACCTGACACAAAGCAGGCCTTCAATATTTACTGAATAAATGTATTAGAGGAAGGATTGCATGGAAGCAGTGGGTTAAGACATGCATTAAAAGACTCCAGCTAATTACCTTTTCATTGCCACAGTCTAGACCCATTCTATTAAGTCCTTTTGATAATCTGTACTGATAACTTCCTATACTTAAAGTGTTAGTTCCACTTTGTTTTTATATAGATATTTGCACCACTGAGCACAGGTTAAACAGTATTCAGCTATTAGAGAGTCCAGATGCCTTACAGATGAGCAACAAGCCCAGAGTAGGCTTGTGCCTGTATCATAATTCCTTAATGAACCTGTAACCTGGCCAGTTAGAATGCTAAACTTGGCACTTCACAGTTATTCTCCGTTTGTCTCTTCTGCGGCTTATGGAACATTTTCTGATTTTGGTGTTTTTTTTTTTTTTTTTGCTAATTCAGTACCATGCTTTGTGTCTGTCTTTTTTTCTTGTCATTTCCTCTGTTTTCCCCCAAATTCTAATTTAAACCCGTCAATGAGGTTTATTCATTTTTTTAACTTGCTTGCATTCTCTCATTATCACATTCATCCATCCATTGGTTTTTTTTTAAACACTGTGGTAAACTCTATAAACATACAGGATAAGGCAGAGTTCATGCTTGACCTCCCACCACTGCGATCCTTTTGTTCTTCTTGCCCCACTCTTGTATTCATTTGCTAGGGCTCTCGTAACAAAGTACCTCAAACTCGGTAAGCTAAGCCACAAAAATGTACTGACACAGGTCTAGAGACTGAAGGTCCAAAATCATGGTGTGAGCAGGGTTTGTTCTTTCTGTTGCAGGCCTCTCTCCTAGCTTCTGCTAACCTCCAGCAGTCCTTGTCTTTCAGAAGATGGTCTCCCTGTGTCTCTTTACATTATCTTCCCTCTCTGTGTGGCTGTCTCTACGTCCAAATTTCCCCTCTTTATCAGACACTGGTCTTATTGATTAGGTCCGCGCTAAAGATCTGTTTTAACTTGATTACCTGTAAATATCCTGTGTCTGAGTGGTTTCACATTCTGAGGTACTAAGGATCAGCACTCCAACAAAGCTTGGTTTTTTTGTTTTGTTTTTTTAACCAATAAGACACATCAAAGCACTATATGGCCCTTTTTGTTTGTTCATAGGCAAATGTGGTCTGTTTTGTGGTTTGTCTGCTTTTGGTCCTCTTTGCATATGCAGTTATTTTTTCTTAGCAGCTATCTCACAAGCTTATGGGAGAGCTTTCATTATTACAAAATTCTTCCATATGAATAAAATCTCTTTTCCTGGAGTTTCCAAACATTTGTCTTAATTCTGAAATTTGGAACATCAGAGATTTAAATTTATTCCTTTCCCACTCTATAGGAATCCAACCATCTGAGATCCTTTAACTGATAGAGTTTTCCATCATGGAATTGTAGTTACACTTTTGACACAGAAATTCCACGCCAGGAGCCTGTGTCATCTGGTTACTGTTTCACTGGCACTTTGAGTTCACACTTAACCCTGAGGTATCTTATACATTTAATTGTTTAAATTATCAATAATTAACATAAAATCATAAAATAGTACACAGTGGGCCTAACTGGTGCAGGGAGTTATCTGACATCTTTTTATTGAGTTATGTAATATTCCCTTATGTCTGCAAGAGCTGAACTATATCTCTTTTCCAGACTTTGTCATTTTGATATCAAAGTCACAGCCCCCAAGCTAAATTCTATTTTTGGCAACTTTATATAACCAAACACTTTTATCATGTAGTCTTCTTCCTTTTACAAATATACAATTTTAACTCTGTGTAAAGATGAAAAAAAAATTGCCACCTTTTTCCTTGAATTTTTCTGTTTGCTCCCCAGAAAAATTCCCAAAAGATACAACTAAAATATTCAGAAATGTACTCCTTCTCATGGGGTTGAGCTTGCTATTTAGATACCACTTGAAAATAATGTATTTTCATTCTGATTTAGAAAAAGCACAAAAAGAAATAAGCTTTTTGATGAAAGATAGTATGCACACAAAGATTTA